ACGGGCCTGCCTGTGAGGGCCCAGGCCTGGTATACCCCCCTCCTCTACACTCATGCCCCAGTCAGACCCTTGGTGGCCTGTGTAGATAGCAAAGGGCAAGAAATCCCATTTGAGATCAAGTTATAAAGCCAGTTTCCAAGAGGGAGGAGCTGTGGTACACTGTCAGAGAAAATACTAAAGATCAGAGTCAGTGGCACATCCCACAGTTTGGGCTGGAAAAGGAAGGGGTGAGAGAACCAAAGTCACAGGGTCAGTCTCATGGAGCCAGGCAAGGAAGAAATCCAGGGTATAGGCTGACAAGCCACTATACAGCCTCTGCAGGGAAAAAGCAAAGGTAAAGGTGGCAGGACAGATGGATGACAGCTGGGGAAGCCTGATAGAGTGTTCATGGCCCAAAGGCCTGCACCTGTAGGCTCAGTTGCTCATCCTTTTTCCCCCATGGGATCTGGAGCTAGTCGGGACCCTTGCGTAGTGATCGGAAGAAGTCCCTCAATGTCTTCTCCACGTTGGGCAAAGCATATGCCTGAGCTGCATAGATGCCAGTGCAGGTACCCATGGCAAATCCCAATACTGCTGAAGCCCTCAGTTTGGCCACCACATAGCTGGCCAGGAATCCCTTGAGAAATGGGGAGGACAAGAGTGAGCCATCCTGGCCTACACCAGTGTTGACTTCATCTTCCACTCGTTGCTGCAGGCGCTCCAGCTGGTTCTTGAGAAATGCCAGGTCCTTAAGCTTGGGCAGAGAATCCTTGTCATCCGCCATCTTCCCCGCCGAACTCCCACACATATTTATTTAAAAATGAAATCTTTTATTTTTTTAAAGAGAGTACAAGTTAGAATGAAAACAGAAAAAATTAGACTGGGTATGGTGGTGTGCGCCTGTAATCCCGGCACTTGGGAGGCTGAAAACAGGAGGATCACTACAAGTCCAATCTGTGTAGTGAGACACTGTAGACCCTGTACTAACTACATTAAACAATTAAAGAAAAACAGAAAAAATTACAAGTGACACAGAATTTCACTTAACAAAATAATATGAATTTCACAGTATTTGTTGCAATACATAGTGTTATCTTCCAATCAGTTATTCATATGATCAGATATATGTATGTAAAATTGGAAGAAGAAAGAAAAAAAGGAAGAAATGTATAAGAAATTAAGAAGAGAAAATGTACAAACAATTGAAAAAGGGAGACAAAACAAATTAAGTATTATCTGTTCCTTTCCATAGACCAGCAGAAGTGCTGGGGAGATAGCTCAGTGGCATAAATGCCCGCCTGGCAAGCACAAGGTCCAGAGTTCGATCCTTAGTAAAAAAAAAAATAAAAAAATAGATCAGCAGAAATACACAGCACATTTGTCCAAACCATCCTGCTTACATACATAGTTAAATCTCTTTATGTGTCTTGAAAGCAAACTAAAGCTTACTGGCTTGAATTTAAAACATTATTATATAGTAGCAGACACTTATTTTCAGAGGTTGAATTGGTTTATGTCTGGTTGCCTGGAAACCTGTTGGGTGAATCACACTGTCTCACCAGTCCTGGAAGACTTCATGCTAGCCTCAATACTAATTTTGAGTGCCTGATTCTCAATATATCTTTCAGGCAGAACTTGACACTGAGCTATGTCAACTTACATTGGATTGCAGGCAGGCAGAATTTTTCATATTTCAGGCAGTCCATGATGGTTGTGATCCATGTATCGGCTCTCTGATGACACATCAGAAAAATGTATAAACGATATTTCCATACTGTGCTGGGGCGATAGCTTGGTGGTCTAAGCACCTGCATGGGCAAGTGCAAAGACCTGGGGTCAATCCCTGGAACTGCATTCCGTGCCAGCCCTGAAACCAGGCATAGTGGTGCATACCCATAATCCCAGCACTGGGGAGGCTGAGACAGGAGGATCACTAGTCT